CCCCGCGATTCAAGGATAAAATTAGCCATATCTTCTACACCAGCGAGCCGGGGCGCAAATCCTCTGGAATCCATATCCAGAATATACCGAATAATCACTTCCTCTTCTAACTCAGTCAACTTATGACAATTGGCTTGAGAATCTGGGCGGTAGGTTCGGCCAGCCATTCTGTCGGAAAGAGTCGTATATGGTACATTGTAGATCTTTGCCGCAGAGCGTTTGCTTAGTTTTTTGGACGACCGAATAGCCTCGATAGCTAGAGTAATTCGCGCTTCTTGAGTTTGAATTTCCATGGTAAATAGTTGAAGAAAACGTGTGTTGAAGTTTGAGGAGGTAGTGCCAAGGAAAAGTGATCGACTCGGTGATATGATCGACTCGCTGATAAACCATGTTATATAAAAAGAATAAAAGAACAAAATTACCTAGATATTCTACTATTAGTGTTTAATAAAAGCTAGAGCTCTCAATTAACTAAATTTATAAAACTATTATTAATTTCTAAGTATTTTAGAAGAATATTATTAGTCAAGTATTTAAAAGTAAATATTATTTTCTTTTATAAATTATATATTATATTAAGAATGTCCTCTCTATAATATCAGTAAAATACAAGAAGATTAGTATTAATCACATCAACTAAAACAATAAAATACTAGGACCAGCGAATATTAACTAGAAGAGATTCTTAGTATTTATTGTACCTATTTCTATAATTACTAGAACTTATTACGTTCTTAGTATACCGAAGACTCCTCGAGGATAGGGTTTTTCGCATGGTAACTTATAGATATTACCATCTCTTTCTATAGGAATAAAAAGAAATGAACGTTATAACAACAAGGTTTCTACCCTAAATGTTAGAAGACAAGGCATAATGTGAGGATCAAGTAAGCATAGAGAGAGAAGCTAGCTGTAACGAATACTCAAACTGGCTAACTAAACTTGGCTGGGTGTTCGCTGGTTGGTATGCTATGATAAGAAGAAGACTATCGGGTTGTTCACTTGGAAGTGAACTCGTTACTTGTATCAAAGATGTCAAACTAATATGATAAGATTGATAACTAAGTTGATAACTAAGTTGAGCACGAAGCTCCTATCTAATGGCAGACGTGCCAGTCTTATATAGAACCTTCATCCTCATGATCGCTGCTGGTCGCTCGCGACCAAACGACCATTACTGGTCACGTGATATAATTGCTATGAAATCCCTGGATCGCTTAGCTAACCTAAGCATCCCTATCTGCTATAAGTATTCTGGTAGTGCTTGACCTGTCAGGACGCCGCCTGGTCTTCGCTAACCACGTGCTAACACGTGATTCGTGACACTAGCTAGGGACAACCGGAGCGACTCTAGTATACGGGCTTTCCTGTGGTATTTATTAGACGACAAGATTGTTTATGGCGAACGAATCGGGGAATCGCTAAATGCGGAGAAAAGAATGGGAAGGTATAGAGGCGAATGTACTATTTCATCTGTACTTTACATGTTCCTTGGGAGTATTGGTCATCGTAGATCGGATACTAGGCGGAATGGAGAGGAGGCTGGAAGCGTATCTTGTGGAATGAAGAGTGAGATTGTACTAGGTGTTTATAGGAAAGTTTTCTATGCAAAAGAGCGAAGTGGGAGCTGGGGATTTGGAAGAGGGAAAATGGGGGGATAAATAGCTTAGTGTGGTGGTCATAGTTTTGGGTAGAGGATGTATCCTGCCAGAGTAAATGGCGAAATGTCGCGGGAAAATGGATTTGATAACTTTATGGAAGTTTCTCGCTTCTAAACATGACTTAGGCGAGGACACGGGCTTCTGCTACGCTTTCTTTCACTTGGAAGACTAGGACGTGACTAGTCAGCTTTTTGCGGGATGCTGTTCCTGGCTATGAGTCGCTTAGGTAGCTAATGGGTTTTGCGATGCAGGAAGCATATTAGTTGGGGTAAGGAAATGTAGATTAATAATGCTAACTGCCCTTTAAAGTAAGATATCATTTTTCAGCGGATTCTACTCTTTCTAAGGGAAGAAGGGTTAGAATTCCTGCGTTTGCTATCATCCACTACCTGCTCGCTACTTACGATGAAGGCAAGAAGCTTCAACCTACTGTCATCTAAGAAAAAGGGTTCTAATCACAACAATGACTATTCTTTCAAGCAACGGTACAAGTACCGTATTGCGGCCAGTATGTTTGGTTTAAGTTCTATCACATGGAACAACTTCCATCTGCCCAGGAACGCTACTTGAATGAGATCCATGATGCCACCAAAGTTCTTGATGGTGTGTTAGAAGGAAAGCAGTATTTGGTTGGCGACAAGGTTACTTATGCTTATCTCTCTTTTATTACCTAGTATAGCATAGGCTCTCGCCTCCCTAGCCTTTCCATCGATAAATTTAGGCCTATGCTGCTTGGATGGACAGACTTCTTGCAAGTCCAGCTGTGAAGAAGGCACTAGAAGATAAGGCGAAGGCGAGCCAACCATAATAGGCCTCAATGTCCTGGGACTTTTTTCAACAAAGTTTGGGCAATCTTTTCATGTTGGTAGTTTGGATTACTGAATGATTGAATGAATCAACTTCTAAAAGCTTTGGCTTGAAAGACTCACAACGGAGATTCAATGAACAAACCCCTAGTAAATATAATGGATCATTTGATGTAGATTGGTTCTCAAGACCCGTTGCTTGAACCATATCCTGACAAAATAGACTGGGTCAACTTCGTTGACATCGACTAATAGTTGCAGAGCTCTCCTGTCGACTTCGAGCCCTTGGGGTTAGTTGAAAATATTTATTCTTTTATTGTTATGCCTTTCGCTGCTTTGGTCAAAAATATGAAGGACCGGAAGACAGGTTATTTGGACAAATTGGGAGGTTCTCTCAGAGACAACTTTGTCTTCATATGGCAGATAGAGCGTAATATACAATACTATGATTGGTCCTAAAGTCTAGCTGAATATCTCACCATAAAAATTCACCGAAAATATAGATACAGTTGGACTCCCAAGACATACAGTAATAGTAAACTTTCAAGAGAGTGTATATGTCATATTTCCAAGGCGAAAAGCTTATTGTTTAGTTAAGAACTTACCCCTACTAAATCATTATCAGGAAGAGTGTATAGGATACCAGAGAAAAGACAAGAAAATCTCAATACGTTATTACGAATTCACTTTTGAAGCATGTAGCCAAAACATTAGGGAATGAGATTAAATGCTCTTAGACTCGGTTGTTTTTCGGCTTCGCTTAAAAGGCATCACAATAAACAAATAAGCGTTCCTAGAAGAACGGAGAAATCAAGTATCTTGGAATCTTCTAGGATTAGAGATACATTCAAAGAACCAACAATAGTGTTTGCTCTTGTCGAGGACATTTATGAAGCATAATTACGTGGTGGTTGTAATCAAAGTAGACTTACGTCATTACTATCTCGTATATCGGGATATAATTAATGTCATAGTAAGTTAAGGGTAAGCCAGCTATTTGAGAAGAGGCAATGGACTCCAGGGACTGGGTAGAGGTCAAACTCAGCGAGGGTCTTGACAATATCATCATACCAGAGACGGGCTGATTCTTTGAGGCCATACAAAGCCATGATTACTTCCCATTCCAACCCACTTTGTTCGTATCCCTCAGGACACTTACATCTGATTGGTTGTTTTAATCTGGCATTAACGTAGGCGTTGATTACGTCGTATGATCGGGTTTCTAAGTCGTAGGCTGCAATAATGGCTGTTGTTGCACGGAACGTTTGTGCAGCTAAAGTGGCAGCGTAGGTCTCCTGGTCTGTCCATTGAAGGTCTCCTCTTGCACAAATACGAGCTTTGAACTTGAGAATATACCCATTCTCGTCAAACTTGTATGCACAGACCCACATCAAAGGAAGAGAGTTGTTATTGTCTAGTTGTGGAACAAGGTTGAAGGTGTTTTTTGACTTTAGAGTGTTAAT